TGGGATTTATCCAAATTGTGATCTTTTTGAGAAGCAATCTTTTTGTTAACTACGGTAGTCATCCAAGAGACTGTCAAAATCGCTCTTGGTAGAAGCGCACAACCTCTGAGCACTTGTTAGTAAGGTATCTGTGAGTCAGACCTTCCTCTGTGCAACGCATACAAAATTTTTGTATCTCTGTTTTCGTAGTAAAAGTTACGCAATATCTAGTTCCAGAAACTTAAAGCTAGCCAACACTTACTACATAAAATATATAAATATTTTTATCACAGCCACTCAGTAGGTTGCGTGATAATCATGGGCTATAAATTAGGTGTACAGTGCACGTCACCCAAATATAAAACGAAATCTATCTTACCGGTCCGGTCGAGTCCAATATAGTTGCTCAAATTCATGATTGCGAATCGGAACGTGTAGCACGTATGGCACACAATAGCATTTAAAGTTTTTCCAAAATGACCAGTATGAATAATCGGTTTCCAATCGGAACCGGCTTAGTCGTAAGGAACCTTTTACGCACGTCATTTGATAAAAGCGAAGGTCCTCGGTCAAAAGATTTCAAAACTGGTGCTCCTGCAGTGTAGTTGCTCCCTTCACTGGCGACAGTAACGAGTCTCGCTGCCTACGAAGACTTGACCATCAAATTCGCGGACGCAATTTGGAGCGTTTTAAACTGAATATGTATCATCGTGTCTAGGTGCTGAACAGCGATGGTAGGATACAATATTTGTTTTGCGACAAGAAGACACTACTTTGACGTTGGCTTCATGAAATCGACAAGTCAATCTTCTTGCACCAGATAATCGGAAATATGAATCAAATGAACTATACGACGTCTTACCTGGCTGGGTTTGAAGGCATGGGCAACAAATCTACGAGCCTTCGAGACTGATTTTCAACACTTTGTGAACTCAAGTCGAGAATCTAGTAGAACTTTAAACCATCTCAGAATGATATTTATATTTCCACCGGAATTTACAGTGCAATACAGGGTAACATGATCTCAATGCTTAAGTTCAGAGGGTAAAATCGTTTGTATTCTGTATCGTCGATGGACCGGTTCATATGTGACGATTCATATGACTGGTCTTCGGTATTGACCTGCCAAAACACAACCTTTTTCAACAAATTGGAAAAAACTTTTGTGATAGAATTAAATGAAGATTCAATGCCCGTCAAGTCCGCAAGAATGCTTTCGCGAGCTCGTTTAGACTCGGAAAATTGCGTGCCAAAGGCATTATTTCTCTGCCGTACGCTCGCGATAGTTCTTGTCGCAAAGGCAAATGTTTTTGATTTTTGATCACGCTGCTTGCTAGATCAGACACCAGCAAGCGACACTAAATGCCGTACTGGTAAAAACTCACCATCGCGCATTGTTCCAAAAAGAAATAGTGTTCAGTAGTCGCAAGGTTCCCTACAGACTCGAAAGGAGAGAGACGTGTGTAGAATTGAGATATCGTCACCCTGCCCCCCCCAGCTTATTACACTTGATGTGTGAGTCATCCGACCATTCGAACGATGACAACTATGCTAAATTGCAGAGTAAATCTGTTATTTTGCTATCGTTACTCAGACCTTGGCCTTTTAAACAATACTGATATATAATATAGCTTGCGGATGGTAATGCACGCGGTGGATCAAGACGCTGAGTGCGCATGTGATATACTGGCATAGCTATCAAGAAGAACAATGTAGTCTTGTAACTGACATGAATAAGATATTATTTGATCAAAGAGTTAATATGTCGGGAGAAATGAAAAAATATTCAAATAGGCTTTTGCTCTGTCGAACTCTTCACGAATTCATCGGGGTGGATGCTAATAAGTCGGATGATCCGACCTCCGAACACGATTTAAGCTATCTATAATTTTATCGCTCGATCTCCAGTCAAGAATATCCGTGATTACATCGCGACAACTTTTGCTGTCGACATCTGTCCGAAAATAAAGATAAAACGATCTGGTCACCCCGCTTCGGGAAAAACTTTCAAATTGAAGTAACTTGTGTACGCTGAGATCACAGCATTTGCTCAAAGACAGTGTTTTCTACGGTTACGTATACCGCCAACGATTGCGAGCTGTAGAGAATATGTCTGTTGCGTGCACCACTCCAGGTCTTTTGATCAGGCAAGTGTGTTATTGTCCCAAATCACGGGCAATTTTGCATCTATGACATGAGTAGGTGTAGTTACAGTAAAGCGCAATATTATTAGTAAACGTTTACAATCTCAACCTCCAGATCGTGCTGGTATCGATACGAGATCGATCGTTTCCACACAATACTTCGTTGGCACGAAGTAACGTATGATGTGGCAGTGACCACTTCCTGGGGATCAATTCGAAGCCATTTACAAGTCTTTGGAGTACCACAAGACAGCAGGGCATGCACATCTCGTCACTCATCTTAATTTCAAACCCACAGGAGGATAACACAATGTCCATGTTTAAAGCTCTTATGGTAAGCAAAATACCCGACTCTCCACTGGGATGCTACGAAAATTGCCAAAGATGTTTCAGATCCTCAAGGGCGCCGAAGTAACGCTTAGTCAGATGATCCTGGACAAATTTTTGCTGTAGTCTTCGTTTGCCGTATGTCACTCTGTTGCGATCTTAATCTACAGCAAAGCTGATAGCGATAGAATCACAGAGGTAGTTTGTCTCGGTCACTTGCGTCAAGTATCTCAGCGTGTGAGCATTCAAAAGTTGTGTGCGAGTCAGAAAGAGTGTCGCACAATGCAGCTCAGACCCAGTGCTAAAGTATGATGGGAGTAGTAGTGGTGATTGATCTGGCTCAAATAAGCTCTCATTCGTGTATGCTTTGTCAGTTTCCAAGAATCAAAAGGAAATCTTTGGTAGTGAGCTTGCTCACAAGTAAACTTAGAGCTATGATCATTCGGTTCCCCCCTTTTCATTAGCACAGAAAGTCCTGGAAGGGTGGTGGAATGATGACTACCAGAGCAAAAGGCCGAATCTCCAAGAGGCTTCAATTGTTTCGTTGCCTACAAATTCCGAGCATTCTAAATTGCTAAAAAGTTAGTCCAAGGATTTTGGCATTGGCTTTGCGCTGATAAATTTCGACGCTCAAAGCAGTGTGCATGTTTGCAGCTATCAGTTTTGACACTGTGAACAGACAAAAGATAAATAATCCAGCTCATGGTAAGTTCTTTTGTTTTCGCTAAAAATGTATTCAATGAGTCCTGAATATACCTATTTGGAGAGCGGCAGCTTACAATTTACACGGACCGCAACCAAGTCACCAGAACTGCCTCATACATTGATTGTCAAACTTCTTTAAGCTCGAATTTTGAACTAGTGAGAAACGATATTTTTTGCTGACGCTGCTCTCGGCAACTTAATCATAAACCTATATCATGGGAATACAGACTTTTGACGTGCGGCTGAGGCGGATGCGTTAATGATGGCTTTGATGTTGCGGCCGGCAAACGATCACGAATCACTCCCTAGAATATCCGCCGTACATATGATGATGGTACTTTGTGTCGCGAGCCAAATAGCCAATAAACTAAGTCTCTTAAGTTTAGACTTCATCGATCATTCTGCTCAGTTTGTTATCGGATCCGTCGATACCACCTATCGGCGGTTTACTGCGTTACTAGCCTGATTCGACACGACACGGGTCGTTGCTCGCAACTATAATAACCTTCGATATCGACTGTTTTATGATCATCGTAATACTCTAATTTGTTGAGCACGATAAGACAATCTTTCAATATCGTGCAATTAGAACCGACCGCACCCATAATTCATTCAGAACTTTATTCGCAACTATAGCGTTTCTCAACGAATGATGCCGTTTCAACCTCTAAAGCTCCGTAGAGCTCCTTGTCGATTTCACATTTCATGTGGTAGTCGAATAATTACAATTTACAGTTTGGGGATTCCGATATGCACACCGCTAAGATGACATCATGACGTTTGTTGGTCACCTCTCCACGTTAGTACATCTCGCTGCAGTGAGACAGCTCATAAATACCAAAGAATCTGCTGCCATGTTTTACTGAAGCATATTTATTACCAAAGATTACCTGAGACACTTGCGCCAAACATGTATTTAAGCTCAAGCCTACGATGACGATATATTCGCTCACAGTCATGCAAAATACCAGAAACATGTGGGGGTAGCTATAATTACAACTACTAAGTAGTGTTTGAGGGTATGTGCTCGAACAAGCTGTTTGATAACAGAATTAAGCGGATATTCGATGTCGACGAAATCTCGTCGTGTGATGATGCACTAAAAATCTATAATTAGCAAGAAGATCCAGCTCTGATTAATAACATTGTAAATTATCAGTGTCACTGCTCCAAAAGGACTTACGGAAGTGGCTTTGCTTGATTGACTACTTGCACAAGCATAGTGCAAATTATGCCGACATGACAAGACCATTCACTGATTCCCGTGCAAGGGTATCAATTAGTGCAGGGTGGTAGATACGGCTGTCTTTGGTGGCGAAGGAAGCCCCCAATGTGTGCCGGATCTTCTGAATCCAGATTGGCCGATTTAAGTAGACTAAGACATCTTTAATTTTGCTTTGGGCTACTGTAACGGGGTGACACGTACCCTTGTATGGAAGGGTAGATCGCACAAGATGGTGCGACCGTAAGATGTGTGAATTACAAAGGTTGGTGTAATAACACAGTGGTGTGGCTATACCGTAACAAGAAGCCATCACGTGGCAGGATTGTCAGTAGTGATGATCCTCACCATACGTTTCTAGGGTATACGTCTGGAATGTTGACTTCTATATTTTAAAGTGTATTGTCCCAGCTAATTGAGTACGACTGTAGCACTGGTGAGGCCCCACAGACCAGTAGCTCAACGCTAAGAGAATCATATCATCAAGTAGAGCGACAGAAACCGATCGTAATAACTGCACCCTAAGCTTAGGACACCAATCCACCGTAAAAATCTCAACTAGTTCGATATTGTGTAGGACACCAAATTGGTCCAGGGAGTGAACTTCTATTTACAAGCAGGCCAGCACCCTAGTCGGTACGACCGCAAAGTTTACTATCCTAAATCATAAGTGTACCGGGTGCGTACCCGGTTACACTATCAAGAACGTCCCCTAACGCAATTACGGGCTTGATGCGTGTCGCTGCTCTTGACCGTGGAGATGAATAGATATTGCGTAGAGTAGCTGTTGCAATTACTGCTGTCTCAAAATGATGCCTTAAGCTGTCGCCAACGCGCTGTAGCATGTCATCAATTCACGCAGTTTACATGATTCATCTTTATCGCAACTTTGACAGAGCTGATATAGTCTATTTCCGTCCATCACAGCGTCAGTGCACCGCAGCGGTGCTAGTTGATTCGTCATGTCTTTCATAACCTGGCAATGAACAATCAACCCAACGTGATAAAAAGATGTTGCCACGACTTATATTTTGTTGTCATCATTGCTATCGCTTCAAAATTATGCGTCTAGACAGCGTGTTGCAGACAGCTAGACGCAGCATTTCGTGGCGACAAAGTAACGACAGCGAGTCATTAGCCTTAAAAACAGCTCTTCAGCACAAAGGCTACTACATGCGTTGATTGCTAATGGCTGGGTAAGCGCGACATTACGAATACACAAGCAGACCTGCGGTGCACTGACGCTGCGGTGGACAGAAGCCAGCGATCACAACGCTATCAGCGGCTGCGATATCCATTGTTTCTCTCTATAAACAAGATCAGAGTGATCTGGTGGAATAGCCACGATTCTTGGATCTACTGCAAGACAATGGCATAAGGTGGCAAGCGATTCTCGACTAGTGAGTGATAAATTGTTCCTCGGCTAAACAGCAGAAAAGCTTTGGCGTGGGCACAATGTTACGACAGATATAGTGAAATAAGCGAGATGTCATTGCAATGATATGTCTTAAGCAAAACTCGGAAGGAAAGTGCAGTTGTCAGCTGCAGGCTCCCGGGGTATATCCGGTCCAAAACTATAGTAAGCGATTATATGTCGCGGTCTCCAAGACAAATATTCAAGAAGACAGCGGGCACTTATTCACGGATATAGGGTCAAGACGTTTTGCTACTAAGGATGATACATACTTATCACGATGTGATCATACAATTGGGTCAGAAACATCGGTTAGCGTACCGTGAAAAGCATCGAAGCTTCACAGAATTGTGGCAAGAATTTGTATACACTCATAAATGGGAAACTACCCTCCTACTTATACTCTGGATATGAAACTCTCGTAGCGCTAGGGATCTGACCTCAGGGATGCGTGAAAGAAGTTGCAAGACGGTGAGACTTTTGAGACGGTACTGATAGTAGACCCAACATCTCCTGTCTTTATGGAGACATGCAGCGGCGCCGCGTTTACCGAGATTTCGAGGTTTCTCTGCGCTCTCTATTCGGTCACAATATCTGATCCCGATTACGATGGCGGGAAGTGTCGCAACACGCCGCCGTGAAACCTACGACGATGATCACCTTGTTACTAATACTGTTAGAAGCCAGCAATCAGCAAGCGAAAGAGTCTTGACGCTTCTTGTCAGCTTGATATTGTAGTGATCATAGGTTTCATTCATTATTTCGCCACGCCACACCACGGTAAAGTCCTCACACGCATGTGATTGACGGCCTTCCGCTCAACCAGAGAGCGTAATGGGTGGCCGAATCACTTCGTAAGCGCTTTCTGGTTTTACAGTTCTCAGATCGCCAAGAATATCGCCTGTGCCCAAAGCAGCAGCGGTTGGATCAATATGCACTGTTTGAGAAGGCTGTATCGTGGATAAAAAATGTTGGCGATTGCTGCGCATTATCACACTTATTTGCGCGCTGAATGAAAAACTTAAACATCTTACAGCTTCAAAAGTAAGCTTCTGTAAGGCAGGCTCCCACCTTAAGCGTAGATTAGTTATTTACATTGAAAGTGCAAACACGACGCAGACGTCGAGGTAAAATCTCATCGCCTTCGCTTTCTGCTGCTAACACCGGTAGATACGTACACGAGATAGCTTTTACAGCGACCAGCTAAGGGTCGAATGTGACTTCGGTGAGCCCACGTGGGACACATAATGTATTATGATTCTAATTAAGGTGAGACTCACTTTTTTTTTCGCCAAGACTGAGATCTGTCTGTATAATGTGGTCGCAAATCAGTCTTTAGGACAGCATACATATATATATATATGTGGGTTTACTGTAGTCAAAATAGGTTCTTACACTGCATAAGCACAAGTGTCTTGACTGCCATTTTGTCTTCGACGTTTCTTGCACTTAGTCCCACAGTCGCGCACCCAGTTCATAACGCGTTTTAATTCGCTACGAACTGTAGTCGGGCTGATATCAACATGTTGAACTGTATCCAGTGTACCACCACTACAAATACCGTATCTTGTTTACAGAGTTTACGGCAGTGTCAATGGGCCTTGAGGATCGCCAGACCATTTGTAAAAAGGGTGATAGACCAGTTGAGGGATGCGCTGTATTATTCAGTGCAAACATATTAAGTGGGAGTGAATTGCTCTATAGTTACGGCCTTTCTGCACATGTGCTTTGGAAAATTCTCTCCACTCCACAATTAGCGCTTTTCATCTCGCTCGCAGCAGGCGTGCTCAGCCCGCTGTCTACCAGTATATTCAAATTTTGCCAAAACTTCGCTGTAAAACGCGAAGCGCTAGCTCTAATGTATCGAAAAATGCTGTCGAAATATAGCTCGACTATATCCGCAGCGGTCACCGTGTCAATGATAGCAGTAAGTTGAGCCAACTTGTTTAACTCCAACAAAGAGTACACAAACGTTGTCACTGGACACATCTTAAAAGACCGGTAAAGGGACTAGACTTATTGACACCCAGCGATTCGCCGGAATTAGCAGGCTAGTTAAAGCCTCCGACGCGTGCGACGGGATTTTAACCCATTGATACGTTTTACCCGTGTCTTCATTGGTGTATACCTACTTATAATGTTGGACCAGCAGCACGTGACGCTCACCAACTAGTGTGTCATTTCACTTCGGAGGTGACCATCCCATGTGGTATCACGTACCTCGTATAGTATTCAGTGCCTGAGAACCTCATCATGATGTACCGTCACACGATAAGTGTCAATTAGTTAGTTTCGTAATACAGCAGGCTTTACAGCAAACTTTGGTATAAGAAATAGTGATGTGAACCCAAGACCGCGTGTTATGATAAACGGCACCTCAGCTTGCTCAATCCCCGCTTTCAAAGCTTTCAGCAACGCTGTCCATCTTTGTTGTACGCTTTATTGATTGGCGAATTTACCATCGCGACAGACAACGATAATAACAGGAACATTCAGTAGGGTCGACGCTTTCTATCGGACCCGAGAAGAGTACCGTGAATGCTGTATTAGCATGAACATGTAGCCTTAACCACACGCATTTTCAACTGGGAGTGATAGTAGCGGCGACTTTGGTTGTCAGAAAAGTCTTCGTAGATGGTTTTAAGAAACCACTACAGGCTTTGATTGATCTTGTTGTGTCGTTCGACCTGTGTTCGAGCGCAAGTTATGTCTAGACATGGTGTTAGCTTGCCCAATGTAAAATGAAAAATGACTATTTGTTCAGCGAAGAAATTGACAATGAAGATATGGTTATTCATGTGGCAATAAATATTGAAGATTCCCGAGGTGAAGACGATTTTTTTCGACCTCGATGAAAGTTTGTTATCTTCTTAGGTACGCCAGTATGAAGCGTTATCAGCCTTAAATTGGCTGGATGAGTACAGAGATCATTGTTAACAAAGCGAGCAGCGCTGGTTTAAGCTGAATAATGGGTGGCGAGTGGTATGGGCGTATGGATTATTTGAAGAAGTCACAGGGGTTCCAAGTGATATAGTGGTGTGCGATGATAACCCTGCTCACAGAACGAGCCCAAGACGACGGAAAAACGACGCCGACTGTGCCGATATGGAAGCCAAAAGCGGTGGTAAAATGAAAAAGGATACTAGAGCATCTTGAGAAAGAAAAAGCAAGCCACCAAGAAGAAGTTTTGGTCAAGTACATCAGGTGCCTCTGGTCAAAATACAAGTTGTATTGATGGAGAAATTGTCCAAAAGAGTGTGTGATTGTTGTGGTCTACTACGGAAAAATTGACGTTGATGTTACCCGTCTCGTGAGGATAAAAACTCCTCGACGTTCGGTTAGGAAATTATTTCCCTGTCAATATTGAGCTAAAGGTCGTTGAAGCGCAGCTTGCGGGGATGTGATCATCGAAAAGTTCGACAAAAAAAAGTGGTCAACATTGGATCGAGTACTGATGGATGACAATACACAGAAGAGATCGATTAAAAAGATGCATTCAGCTTAGTCCTACGTAAGAACCTGTCGAGATATATTAAGATATATTCCCAAACAAGGTACCAAACAGACTGTAATCTGGCAGAGTCATTCGCCATGAAATTGACATACTTCCTGATACGCAATATAGTTTCACACGGCAGTCGCCATTGTAATAAAAACCAAGTCGTTGTACAGCGACAAAAGTTTCCTTCATGTGGGCAAGAGTATGTCTCCGCATTGTGCCCCACCTCTTGCGTAAAGAAGGCAACTGGTGGTTGGTGCATATTTTTCGCTTCCAACAAATCAAACGATACGACCATACCTGCTCATACCATGGTTCCACGCAACCATTTGACTTTTTATGAAATGGCGGCAGTACTTTTTTCAGTGCGATCGATATGAAAAATGGTTGCTAACAGACACGAGTGCGCAAAATGATACGCCAGTAACTGCAGTCAGTACGCCCAGTGGTATACTGTGGGAATGATTAGTGATGCCACAAGTCTCAAAAAACGCTCCCGCTACATTCGAGAGAATAATCACGCATCTTTTCCGTCCATTGTGAAAAGTTGCATCGAGTTACTTTGTCTATGTATTCGCTCTTAGTACGAGACGGATGAGGAGTCTGATGTCAATGTTTACCTTGACTATCTTCGCCAAGTCCTCCATTTCATGCAAGAAAATACCTTTAGAGTCAATCTGTTCCGAACAATGTCAAACAGCTGGCACAAAGGTTGGGCTTGGCCAACTATTTGCACAAATTTATGCGCAATTAGGCACCATCTGTGGAACATCGAACAACTCTTTTAGAACAAACGTTAAGAGAAAGTGATTAGCAGGACACCAGGAGGTATTAGCCGAAGTAACAATGACCTTGTGTGGAGATTCTTTTCATGCGATTGCAACCGACGAAAATCTTTTTATGTGGTCTGCGGTGCAAGTAATCATGTCATTGATTGTGTGTTGATGCAACACGGTGATGAGGGTCGAAGGCGATTCGTTTCGTATCAGCTCTGACAACTCCAACCGACCACAGAACGAAAGTATTTAGCTCATGAAAAAAGGATTTTAGCAATAAAGTATGCTTTTGTCAGGTACCGTTGGAGAGAAAAGCTTTGCGACTTTTACAGATCGTGCCTTGCTACATACGACAGTAAGGTGTCCCATAAATTGAGGAGAATGGCATAATGGTTTTCCTATTTTGCGAAGTACAACTTTGTTGCACACTACAAGCTAAGGAAAACAAACCATTAAGACGATGCGTTGTCATTACATTCGTACAACTATTCAAACTCCAGGAGCGAGAACATACTCGAGTCATATCCAAAACTCGAAAATTTTCCTAAAGATTAAGGTGCAAGCTGCAACTGCAGTGCGCGAAAAAATTGTCAACGCGTATAAGTCCGATGAGACACGTCCGGACTTGTTCGGATACTGTAAGGAAAACATCACAAGGTCTTCCTTCTCGTACACAATCGCTTATTTATCGTTTTGGAATATATCATGAAGTCATTTACCAGGAGGTTAAAAACGGGATAGAGCAAGATTTGCTGTTTCTTAATGACTAGTTTGCGTCATCGCCTCTATAACGAGTACCGAGACAGCCCTTCGATTGGCCATCATGGACGTGAGAAAACATTTCTCAATACTATGTATGGGTCACACATGAATTAGTAGGTGCGCAAGTATGTGCGGCTCTGTGAGAGTTGCCAGAGAGTGAAACAATCGGTTTTCCTACTTTGGTCGTTGGCAGCGCCAACTAACAGCTGAAAGTCTGCCAGTATGGACTTCATATCCGGACTTCCGCGTGACACACATGGACAGTAGTTGCATGCTTAAGTTGGTGATCGATTTAGCAAGATAGTTCATCCTGCGTGTATTTAGGTAAATTTATATTAAAACCAGCTAAGGTCTTTGAAGACGTTGTTTTCCGCCTGAATGACCTTCTTTTTGAGATCGTATCTGACCGTGAGCCCGTTTCACGTCAACGTTTTGGCGTGCAATTGTTGAAATATTGGATCTAAATTGTCACAGTCGACAGTGGCACACCCTGAAAAGAACGGTCAAAGAGAACGTTTTGATCAAGTCGTGAAGAGCGTACTGCATAGTTACGCTACGTCAATACATAGAGTGGAAATAGTTTCTCCCTCTCACGAAGTTTGCGTTGAAAAATCCCACGCATGTATCGAAAGGTATATTGCCATTTCATGCGAGCAATAGTATTCATCTTCGAGTACCTGCTTCCATAAATGACAAGGTCTCTCCCTTAAATGAGGAATGGAGTATGGCTACAGAGCCACAGTCAGGCTTAAAAGCTGTCACACACTTAGAGGCAAGCCGTTGTGCGGTCTGTTCAAGACGCAATTGCAGAAGCTTAGGATCTGCAAAAAACACAAGCAGGTAAGATTGGAAGGAAGAACACAAATGTGTATATGGGTCAATGTGTCGTACTACATAGCACAACAAATCTAACTGAATATGCATCTCGCAATTTGAGAAGCAAAATATCTTGCCAAGAATTATTGGACGTTTCAAGGTGTCGAAATACAATGGAGATGTTCATACCACAGCCATCCATACGCGCATGTGCCTACATCCTACAGATCATGTAGGTAGGCTAAAGTCGTATTCTCAATATACACCTGCCGATTCCATCTATGTCTTTGGTGGATGATCGAGTCGTTTTTATGGTTTCCTACTTGATTGTGAAGTGCAGCCAGCTCTTCACACTGGAGGTTCCTCTTGGCGTATAAAAAATAGAGGACGTCAAAGGATTGCTTTTTCAGATCTCAACATTGAAGGCGAGAAAGGTACTCATTACGCAGTACCTTGAGAGCATAACCGTCTCTTCAACAGAGCGTAACAGGTGAATGTGAGCCAGCTCACGAGAATTCTCGATCCTCAGGAGGCGAACAAGTTCTTCGTGAACCTGTTGAAGCCCTAGTTCAAAACAGACTCTAAAGCTGAGCATTGGGCGTCACTTTCAGTCAGAACCTTCAATTTTGAGCCCGGCTCTGCAGAAAGGTTTGAAAGGCTCTCGCATCAATCTTTAAGTATCGAGAAATGCGGATGCAATACATGAACTGGCCGCGATGAGCGCTCTTTCACTTCCAGAGTAGCTCAATCGTTTTCACTTTCAACCCCGCCTCCGCTATTATACTCTCGTGGAGAGCGCCGTTGGATACTTGATACGATTGTAGACCACAAAGATCGATTGACATTATCGTGGAAAGAAGCAGTTGAACCGTCAACGCTTCTACAAAGTTCAAATGCGCGGCTAGCCATCGGACTCGGACACATGATAACATCGCCAGGCCCGAGAGTCTG